TCTGAAATTTCAAATATGTGTTGTCCATATTTTCCATTCCTACATATTTTCTAAGATTCAAAATATCTACAAAAAAAAGTTTGTATTAAAATTTTTAAAAATTTTTTTATTTTTTAGAATTATTAAAATGTTGAAGAAAAGAATTATTTACTAAATGTTTCATTAAAATTATTCAAAAAAACTGCTTGGTTCTCTAACATGTTTAAAAACTATTTCATAAAATTTTATTAAAAATTATTTTAATTGATTTAAATTATTAAATTAAATTATTCTTAAAATAAATTTTGCAACAATCATCTACAAAGAAGTAAATTAAACTTTACAAATAAATCTTTTTCTTATAAAGTTTTGATTATATTTATGGAAAAATAATGTGTTCACAATTTTGCAAAAATAATGCCTCATAAACTTGATTATTGTTTAATATTTTCGACTCAAAGTCGATTCCAGGCCTGAGAAAATAAGAATTTCATAAGAAGATAAAACTATTCTTTTACTATCATTTAATTTCAATTACACAAAAATATAAAGTATTATTATATTTGCAGATTATTCAAATCATTCTAATGATTTGTCCAACGTAACACGTGAACTAAATTCAAACATGGATTTAAATGGTATGTAATAATACTATAAAGTTCAAACAACAAGGCAAACTATTTTGTAATAATCATAGTTATTTATAATTAGTATGTTTTTAAATTGATTTTGATCATGTTTTAAAGAAAATAAGGACTCAGTTTACATTTCTTAAAAGTAGTATAGGATAATACCGCTCTTCTATTACTATATAGCATGTAATTATTTTTAAATTATAAAGTAAAATTATTTTGGCAGAATATTTAAATCAATCCGGCAATTTGCCCAACGCAACAAATGGATTACATTTAAATATGGATTCCAATGGTACGTAGATATTGCAATTTGTATTTTTATATTTTGCTTCTATTGAAGATTTTGAATCCCGAATGGAGACTTTGTTCGGTCATGATTGTGTTTTCATATTAATTTCTAATTTATTAAAATTTTTAAAAGAAGAGAAAGTACTGGAATTAATAAACTAAATTTTATTATATTTAATATAAAGACATAAATTAAAAAATAATAATAATCACTTTTTAAAATAACATCTTCTTTGATTTAAGTAACATAAACATTAATATTTATCAATTACATATAAAATTCTGTGAAAAACCAATCAAGACCAATTCGCTCAGTCCGCCAGGCCTGTAAGAAATAATTAATTTAGACTATTCTTACAGACGATTCCAATCATTCTAACGGTCAATCTAACGCCACACGTAGACCTTTAGCGAACATCGACTTCAATGGTAAGTTTTCTGATTATAATTTTTTTTATTCCTTTGTTGTTGGTATTAATCGTACCCAGAGAAAAAAATGCTATTAAATGTATAGCATGCATATTCACATACGTTGAAAAGCGGATGTCATAAACATAATTCGACATATATTTCATTTTATTGCATTGCTATTGAATCAAAGAAGACAGTTTTAGATTCAAATGCAATTCTATAAATTTAACTACGTGTCGCATAAAGTTAACTACATTTGCTTTTGAACGTATATGAGTATACGTGCTATAAATTCAATAGTATTTTTTTCTAAGTGTATGAAAAATTTGATAAATCATAAAAAAATGTAATTTTTAAAAATATTAAAATCCTACGTCACTCTTTGGAGAATATATATAGAAGTTGTATTTCAATTTTCGAGTCAATCGGTAAAATATATTTTGAACTATCATACCCCCCATTACAAGAAATTGTATCTTTAATAGTTTCATCAAAAAAAATTTTTATTTAAAACCGTAAAAATGATTTACGTTTAGTGTGGTGTAACCCCTTAATGAATATACAATCTGTTTTGATACTTTTTTTTATAATTTAATGCTAATAACGCTACTTTTTGTGTGTTGAAATCCATCCAACTTTTCATTTTAATTTCAAGTTCTAGAAACGGTCAATAATAACAGGGGGAAAAATATTAGGACAACTGCCATGGAGAGTTATAAGCGTTTCATAGAAACAGAAAATGATAAGGTAAGGAGAAAACTCTTATAACAACCTTTCATGGTTGGCATCATAACTTATATGACTTAAATTTTAATCTACTTTTTATATGGTTTTCATTTCAAGGAAACAAAAGTTGCAAAAATTTTTCTTTCAATATACTTTTTCCCTTTCTTTCTTAGTTCTTTTCTTATTTATAAACATTTTATAGGTACACCTGGGATTAGAATACTACGTTCACCGTGATATTTGGGAACGTTTAAAAAGAGAGCAGGACTCCAAATTCATCAAAGATCTGAGTTCAATTTTTTGGGGTCCTGAAGTATTAAAATTAAGGTGTTTAGATAAAAAAAAAATAAAAGAAGGAAGAGATTCTGCTGAGCGAAAGGAACTTTCACCCGAAAAATATAAATTATTAGAAGGTAAAGTTATGAAATTGAAAAAAAAATTATGTTTAAAATTTTATTTTAATTATAAGTAGCAAGCTTGTAATTTGCTAATTGTAGAAAGCTTGCTTATAAACTGAGATCATTATCAAATTAATCTATTGATTCTTTTTACAGATTTGTTATACAAAAAACTCACAGAATCGAAATGCACGGGTGCTCCCAGAGAAGCTCGAATGAAACTAATTGGCCATTTTCTATCTCAAAAGATTCGAGATTGCAGAAAGAATCTCAAATTTTAAAAAAATGTAAACAGTTTTAATTTTAATAAAAAAATATTTATTTTTGCCATAATTATTACTATGATTTGACTTACGACCTTATTTTTATTTCAATAAATTATGTTATTTATTATAACTTGAAATTATTTTTATTTTAAAAAACTGTCAAGCATGGAAACTCACTGTGAACTTACAAGAGAACTTGCATGAGGACCCACATGAGAACTCACATGGGAACCTACATGTGTACCGGGGTCAAAACACTAAGTGCGTTCCTATGTGAGTTCCTATGTTAGTTCCAATTTGAGTTCTTGTGTAAGTTCTCATGAGAGTTCACATTTCAGTTTCCATGTGACTTCGCTTGTGACTTCACATATGTAATCTCATGTGAGATTTTTCAATAGGGATCAGTTTTAATTCGTGTATTTATCTGCTTAGACGTGTTAAACATATATATATGTTTTATTAATTTTTTTTATTTGATATTTTCAGATTTGAAGTGAATATGCTCGGGAGTGTTCGGTTTTTTTGTTTTGCGAACGAAAAAATTTTAAGAGTGTTAAATTTTAATTTGTAATTTTACTAAGGGGTGACTCTGTAAGGGGAAGGGGGTTCAAGCTATTTACTACTACAAGAGGAAAAACAGTGCACTACATGATGGAGAAGGGCACAGAAAAAACGCTGGGTAAATTTTGTTGCGGGTAATTTTAACTAATGCTAATTCACATAGACGGTGGCGCCCTCAACTAGGATAAAATTTGTTGCAGGTAATTTTTATACCGATTTTGGGGTAAAAATTCTACTTTTTTTTCGTGTGGGGTTAAAATTTCAAAAAAAGGAACGCGTAGTTTATGGATGGCTCCTAAACATTTTATTACGGGAGTGTTCGAAATTCTTAAAATCGCGATCACTTAAATCTTTAGTAAAAGTATAGTTAGTTAGTTATTTTTTTTTAAAGTGGTTTTCGAAATTTTTTTAAATCGCGTGTGTTTCCAACAAATTTTCACATCTGACAAATATGATTCATCGACTGCTTTCTAAGGTTAGAAGATATATTTTCTATTTTATACCAATATAATAATTGCATGCAACACTTTTTTTTAGTAAAAATTTAAAAATATTACATTAATTTTGTGTACATAATAGTTAGTACCATTTTGAAGTTCACTAAATTATTTTTAAAACCATTAATTATATTTTATATTTATAATATTGATATATTTTCAAATTTTTCCCTTAAGTTTTCATTTTATTTTGGTAATTTCTTAAATTTTGAATTTTACCTTTCTGGAACATTGCTGATTATGAATCTAGCATCAGTTTTTCAAAATTCAAAATATCGGAACCAAAATGGCGGACAAATTTTCAAGTTTATCAGATTTGCTTGAAACTCGTTACTCAAGGGTTTTCGGAGTCGATGATTATGAATCTGGTATCAGTTTTTCAAAATTAAAAATGGCAAACAAATTTCTAAGTTTATCAGATTTATTTGAAACTCGATAGTTAGGGGTTTTTGGGTAATAAAATTACTGTTAAATAAATATTCGGTCAAATAGAAATTTGATTAAATGGAAAATTGGTACAATGACATATTTTTTCCTTATTGTAAATCGGATAAGACGAATGCAAAATCGGTCTTGAATATTTTCTAAAACAATTTTTTTTTACATAAGTCTGCCTCTCTTGCACTCATGGTCTATGACTAACATGGTGGTTTTCGTAATATATATATATATAAATGTTCTAAATGGCGGGCGTTTTCACACATCTATCAATCGCATTGGCGAGAATGGCAAGAGCCAAAATTACAAGGAGTATAATCAATCAAGGGTCGTTTTCGGCGAGAGGTTTTGGAAGGTGGTATAGGTGTGTAGGTATATGGTAGACAGTTCGCATAGTTCCGTAACGGAAACGGTAATATCGCTGGCCCCAGGCGACCACTCCTTTGTCATTTTGTCATCCGGTGTAAGAATCTAACGTTTCAACACAAGAGATAAAGGGATGAAGAGCTATGCCCGGAGACAAAACGATTTCGCAAAGAACCAAACTTCTGAAATATTAAAATAACCCTCGACTAATATTTTCACTTTTCTCACTCATTTCTCTTTTTTCTTTACTAATTGATTTATTCCCCGCGAACAAAAAGACATCGATTAATTTATTTTAGTTTCCCTTGTGTGTTATTTATAAAATAATATTTATATATGCAAAATATGTATTTTATTTAACAAAATTAGAATATGTAATGCAAATAATATTGCTTTATACTTGATAATAAATTTAAATCAAGAATTTCGACTCACACTATTTCCGTGATGTAGTGCAGTTCTTGTTCGTTTTCTCTCCACTAATGATTCCTCAGGTTGCCTATTTATCTTCTGAATATCTTGTTTATATTTGCTTCCATTCGAGGCAGAAATAATATAGAAGGCGAAAACCACGAAATAGAGTCGTGCATGAAAATGTGGCACATTTAATGTTAACCCAATCGTCATAATCCACCTGTAAAATTATACATTTTCAAGTCAATTAACAATTCTTTTCATTTGACTTATTTATTTAATCGTAATTTGATATTTTCACAAAAATAGAAACTTGCTTTTCTGAAATCCGAATAAAAACATATGGGGAAAATTATTATTTCTTTTAACTAGAAATCCTACAGTCAAATTATTAGACAAGTGAGACCAACCAAAATAATAGTTTCTTTGGCATTTCTGCATATGTCTACTACAAGAATCTGCACTCTCTAAATTTGAATCAGCGACTATTCGCTTATTCGTAGCTGCATACTCTGGGCTGATTAAAATAGCGACTATTCGCTAGTAATAAGCGAATTTTCAATGAATGATTATTCACTTATTCCCAGCTGCATACTCTGCGCTAGGAATAAGCGAATAGTCACTATTCAAAGCGAATAGTCGCTAATTCATATTTAGAGAGTAGTTTTTAGAAAATCGATTTTTTCGAAAAAAAATGTGGTACTAATTTTAGTCGTTATTTATTCATCTTCAATTAATAATGAGGTTTAAAAATTATCTAGGTTTAACTGCTTATGTAATCTTTAAACGTGTCACTGTTAACTTAAAAGTATCAAATTGCAACGAATTGATACCCAAAATGCAGATCAAATAAAAAATTGATTCTTTTGGTCTCAATATCAACTTTGATATCAATTTGATACTATCAAGAAAACTGTTGTATTATTTTTTTTACTCATTAGAATTATTTCACTGTTTTCTTGATTATGGTATCAAGTTGATACCGAATTGGATCAAATTATGTTTTGACCCAAATATTTCTATCAATTTGTTCCCCTCAATTTAACATTGTTCAACAAAAACGAAATTTTTGAAAAAATTTCATTTTTACCTTCAGTGGGAAAATACAGTTAAGACATTGTCGATAGGAATGGTAAATTGAAGAATGTGATAAAATTTTGAGTTCATATGTATATATTTAGTAACTGAAAGTGTAAAATGAAAGTTTCCTACTGGTGTGATATATATATATATATAGAAGTCAGAAAATTTACTGCCGACCGAAAATTATATAGGAAGACAAAAGCCTTTTAGAATTGACTGCTCCGATTCAATTCTCCCCACGAAGTCTTTCCTCTACTATAAATTTACTTGCGCGCAACTGTTACAGTCGCGAGAGTACGCAGGTACGTGTATACGTTTAAGTATCTAACGACCTATTAAGCTCCAATGCTCAGAAAGGCATTAATTTCACGACGCGCATAACTTTTCTGTCACAATTTGCATCCCCCTCTTTTCTTATATATGAAACGTTGGGAAATTAAAAACGTCCGATCGTTAAATTTCAAAAGAGTTTTGAAATATTACTAAACCCGCCTTTGGAATCATAATTGGCTGGGGTTTTTTTTTCTTTTTAATCCCTGCGCTGTCGGCCCTCGTACGAAAAAAAATCTATTTGAAAAATACCTATATTTATATTTGCTATAATTTGTCGAAAAAGTGAATTTTTTTTCTCTTCTAAATGACGCGGTATTTTTAACATTGATCATCGAGGAAAATACTTTTTAAGGGATTACATGCCACTGTAAAAAGAAGGTACTAATATAGTACCAATTTTAGGTATTAAAATAGAACCAAAAGGCAATTTAGTACCTAAAGTTGGTATTAAATTAATACCTCTCTTTTTACAGTGTGGATCAAAAAGACTTAAAAAATGTATGTCTTTTTATAATTTTTAAAAATTTATTACCTTTTTACCTTAAAGTACATTATAAAATATGAGTAAAGGTATAGAATTTTCGTTAATAAATATTATGGTAAAGCTAATGTGTAAAAAAAACATTGTACCTAAAATCTTACTGATTAGAATTTGTTCACTAATTTAGAATTTTTTCGTATTTTAAAACTAAAATATTAATTATTTTCGTATTTTTATTTCAAATACATTAATTGTTGGTTTAAATAAAATTTATTTGATTAAAAAATGAAAGTTATTTAATTCAATGAATTTAATAATATTAATTAAGTAACTGCACATAACTTAAATTTTGACGTTGATATTCGTTTTTGAGTGGTACGACCAAGTTTTTAAAGGGCGCGTAAATTTAACTTCGTGTACAGTTAACTTATTGTAATTTACACTCGCCACAAAATGAAATATTCATTTACATACACACGCACACATATAAATTTAACTTTGAATGAGATTTCAGGAATTTTTTTAATTAATTAAATTCGCTAAATTTTTAGAATGTCAGTATCTATTAACTGTATATTTTATATTATTTTTTTCGTTATTTGTAGTTGGAAGAAGTAATTTTCTTAAATATTTAGCTCTGAGAATTTTTTCTTTGAATTATTTTGTTAAAGAAATTCTATTCAACCGAATTTTTATATTACAGAATTGTTAATTAAATAAAAATAAAAAAATAAAAAGATTGTAAAATGAAAATTTTAACAAATAAATTTTAGAGTTTATTCATATATGCATCCAGGGGAAATATATTTAGTATATATATATTTGCTATTTTCGAATAAAATAAAACGTTAAATCTATTTAAAAATAACGAAATATAATATAAAGAACCACAATAAAAGAAGAAATATATGAGAATCAACCATAAGAAATTTGGAATATCTCTCGCGCTTTCAGTCTGCATTGCAATTGAATGGAAAAGTACAAAAAAGCGGAAATTATCGTTCTCATTAGAAGCAATAACCACCTTTCTATATTTCTGAAGAGAGTGTGGATGTGCAAGAAAATCGAAAGAAATTTCAAGGGGGGTTGCTTTCGCCAAAAAGGCTGGGGGTGCAAACAGAGAACAGAATCAGTTTCAAACGTCTAACCTCCTCGAGGCAAATCTTTCCTTTTTTTTTTTTTTTTTTGAGAAATCATTCTAGACTTTTAAGAGCACTTTCAAATTGTTCTCGACAAAAAAGAGAGAGAAATTCATTCTCATACGTGTCTTCTTATATTTATATACTATATCTTCCTATTTTTTTTTTTTTTTTTTCTTAAACTATATATATCTATACGATGTGTGAAACCAAGCTTATTTTTGTTATATTCTTTTTTTTTGTAAAATTTTATACTGTGAATAAGAATAAAATGTAAGTAGGTGGACGAAAGAACGTTAGATATTTTTGTCATTTCGGTGTAGATTGTAAATAAAGGAATGAGCACAAGAGAGGAATGAGCATAATGTACCGCGTAAGAGCCATTAGGTTATTAAAAACAGTACCATTTCTACACGGTGATGGGGGGAAGGAAGGAGAGGGGATGGGGGTATAAGGTCGGCCACTGGTGCAGAAAAATTCTTGGTAGAATACGGACAGAGAGGAAAATTAGCCTTTATGTTTTTTTTTACTTTTTTGTATATATGTATATAATGTAGGAAAAAGAAGTGACCATTTATTTTACGAGAGTCATCGCGCCAAAAATTTTAAACCCTTTTTTTCATACACACATATTTTTTTTAATAGCATTTTAATATTTTCCGTTTACTATTAATTATTCATTATTTTTTATGATGTCACTTTAGTTCTTTTATTATTTTTTCAATTACTATTTTTTTTAATCAGTTAATTTTTTTATTTCCATTCACTTTTTATTTATTTTATTTCAATGATAAATTTTATTTGTTAATATTATTACTTGTTTTTATTTATTTATTTTTTATTAATTTTTTTAAATTCAAAGTAAATTTAGGTTAATTGACAAAATAAAAAAAAAGTTAATCAAGTAAAAGTGTTCAATATAATTAATTATTATATTATTTAACGTAAACTAATAGTGCAATAAAAGTTGAAAAATTTTGTAAAATTTTTTACTGTTTTAATATCAAAAAAATGTCCAAATATTGAGAAATTTTTATTTTCATCAAACCTGACGTTACCTGGTATGCGTTAAAAATGTAGATCTCCTTTTTTTTATTTATATTCATTGGCAAATAACTGTTGTGTATAAAAATCTCAATGTACAGTATAATATAAATATTTGATGTTTATAGCAATATTTATGATCGAGATGTTGGCCATTTGTCATATTCAACTTAACTCTTTTGTTTTAAGAAAGCATAATATATTTAATTATTTTTTATGATAAACTGAGTGTGACAAAAAGAAATAATTCAAAAATTTAATAAAATATCGTAATATATTGACTTTCATGTTTCTAAAGTATAATTAAGTTTTTTATTTTTATTTTATTAATATTGTTTATTTATAAAGAAGATAATAATAAGTTGTAGGATATTTAAAAAATTCTTTTAATTCTATAAAAATTTTATATGAATTTGTACCTATAATGAAACATTTTTTTTTAATTTATTATTCTTGGAAATTATTAACATTTTTTTTATTTTATAATTAATAAATAAAATTAATGATTAGGATAAATATTTTTTCAATTATTATTATTATTATAAAAAATTATATTCAACAACTATATTACGAGAAATTCAAGATTTTCCGAAAAGTTTCGAATGCGTCTAATATCAAAATAGTCTTAAGGTGAATTTCCCAAATGGCCAAGCCTTGATCTATACTAAAGTGAAATGTAGCGAAAGGTGGAGAACTATAACGCAAATTTCGTTACGAGTTTCGCAGCCGTCGCTCGACATATTCAAACTACCTTCTATGAACACATGAAGTACATAAGTCGGTTCATAAATTTATATATATTTACATGTATATATATATATATGTATATACAATATTGCATTTGCACAAAATGTGTCTGCTCATGTGTTCTCACTCACTCACATTCGGATGAAACAGGTTGGGTAAAGCTCGGGCAATTTACATTCCCACGTATTTCCTCTCTTTAATATTCAACGCACTCCGAATATGGGCTAATCGCCCTTGCTCTCGAGTAATATTTAACTCAATTCGTTATTTAATGTGATTTCTCATTTTCCAGTATATACACTTTTTTTCATTAAAATATGCATTCTCACTATTCAATAAACTAACAATAAGTTTATGTCATTTTTTTCAATGATTAGAAAATGTTCAACTTTT